TATACACTGTATGTTATGTCATATGCTTTGGTGTACTATATTTTGATGAGCCGAGTGCTCATTATACCACAATATTTCATACATATGTATATATAGATTATTTTCTTTCATATTTTACTCAAATTACATTGAATTGTATTTTGAGAAAAATATTTTGATTTCCATAATTGGCTCACCATTTGTTAGCATCTGATTTCAATTGTTTCACTTTTCTAATATGAAATTTATATCCATTGTATTATCAATAAGTAATGAGATATTGATAGCAATTACAGGCAATTAATAGTGGTTTTTATGAGTCAATAAATAAAAAGTAGGTTTGGTTTGCAAACAATTAGTTGAAAATACGTTGGCGTTCACTAAAGCACTCATTTATCAGACTTAATGTTAACTAAATTATTGAATAGAGTTTCGGATGAAATCCAAAGTTGTTTTCGACTATAAAATAGCTTTTTTGCAATTAATGTGTTTGTGTAAACGTGTTAAAATAGCCGACATTCTCTATTAATTAGTTGTTTATTAAATACTGTATCATGTTTCAATCATGTTGTAAATTATTAAACACTATATTATATTTATAATCAGTGATTTATTTATAAATGCATTGTTTTATTATTTTTATTTTCAAAATATTTATGTTTGAGTTAAATGGGAGAGAAATTGATGCAAATTTTTGTTGAATATTTTGTTAGATGTAATAAATGATTAATTTTGTAAAACTGTTTAAACACTCGTTGAAATGTTATGTTTATAAAAAAATACATTATAATAATGCTATAAAAATAGTATTGTATTAATTGTATGAATTCATGACAGCGTATATCCCTATTCTATATGTTGTCAAACATAGTGGTCGACCCATTCGGCCCATCCATCCATCCCTTCATTCATCCTGTTATAAGGCATTGCATTCAACCCCCGATCGGGTGTTTTCTCAAACATTATCGTTGAGTCCATTGCGTGCTATCAAACAATTAGCGATTCCTCCACTTCTCCTTCACTCTTTGGCCTAACCTTCAGTTTTGCAATATTTTACTTTAAACTCAGCGATGAATCAAATAATAAGTGATTCTGAATTCGTTTGAATTAATTTCTTTGTGTTTACACAACAAACCAGTAGTTAATGTATTATTGAATTTAATGATCACTTAATTTAATTGATAGTTCATTATCTGTTTAAATTATACCTCATTTAAAGGTTTCATTTGTTTCATACAGTTTTCTAACAGTATGTAAATTTGCAGTTAATTTAATAAAAAAGTTAATCAGATTTAAATAATTAATTTTTCTAAACGTAATATTATATATAAAGCACTCTATTTTTATTAATTTATTTACTAATTTAATATAAACAACATCATTTTACTGAATGTTTAAAACAATTCTATTTATTTATACAAGTTATTTTTATAAGTTTATATAAGTTGTTAATTTTGTCAAATCTAATAAAATGATTGAAAAACGGACATAACGTAAGTTTATTGTATTATTACTATTCTTATCAATTATACATTTGATTATATATTGGCATCGTTTTACACAATCATAAACTTATGATTTAATGTTGGATAACATTGAGTCCGGATATGAATTAAATAAGTGTTGGTAAAGCCGGTCAAACTATTTATTTAACGCTTATCATAAGGCACTTCTCCTCCCAACCCATCTCTTAATTAAAAATGTTGTTTCAAATGAAGAAAAAATAATTTAAACATTAAATGGCTTTAATTGTAGTCCACTTATTAAGGGTTCATATTTTGATTACAGATTTAAAGCCTATGAATGCGTCCTTATTTTCATGATTGAATCGTTTGATTTGTTTTGGTATTCAATTGTTTTTCGGTTTAATATATAAATTATGAAAAACAAGAAAAATATTATACGAACTCTTGATCTTTGGTTTTTCTCTCCAATCTATTTGTTGCGAAAAATGTTTTCACTTCACGACCCGTTTTCATCTTAAGGCCATTTCGTGAGACTTTACTGTTTAAACTAATTTTTTAAATTTTAATTCTAGTGTTTAAACAATTCATTTGTTAAATAAATTATATAACTGGGAGTATAACTTAGTTATGTTGTTTTGTGTGCATATTGTGTTTATACATGTAATATGAATACATTAGCGAATAGTCTAACAGTAATGTAATAAAGTGTAGCATTTGAATACAATGTCTAATTCATAGCACACCCTCCTCTATAGATGGGCTGTTAATCAGCACTTATTTTTGAAATATTAGCGCACATTCAGTACTATAATTGGTATTTTGAGGTAAAATACAGTATAATTTATAAATTTACATATAATACAGTATAATATAACAGTAATATTTTCAAAACTTACATTCGTCTGTTATTTAATAAAAAAGTAAGATTTGATAAACGATAGAGATGTTAGTACTTGGACTTTATGGGAATATAATTGTGGAGATAGTGTCTAAGCAATTGAGGAATTGTCTCCAAAAATATGCCTAATTATCGTAACATCTTATCATCAAATGATTCAATAATTGAATTTTTATAATCTTTTTGTTTGCCAACAACTTTAGACTTAAGATGTTATCATTGAATTGAGTCTCAATGAAATAACAGTTATTTAGTTTTATACGACAGACAGTTATATACGATTATTGATACAAATGATGATAATATGAAACAAAAATGTTTGTCTAATCGTGTTTTATAAGCAAAAAGTTGTCGAACGAGACATACATTTGTTTAGTATTTTTTGATGGACTTTACCGAAGGCTATATTTGTATTATTCTTTTTTATAAGTTATGTATAACTTATTAAATATATTATTAAATTTTCTTTCATCCATAAAATAAGAAGTCTTTTTATTTGGTTCTCTATTTGATGTCATTTTACTCAATCATTAAGTGTATTAGTTGTGATGTAGTGTTAATAATAACAGTATGAAAACAATAAGTTATGGACATTAAACTGTACTAATCATTGAGTGGGTATTTTAAAGTTTGAATTTAAAATATGTAATTACTAATTACTCCATACATCTCATATTATATTGGATTGTGTTTTAAACAATAGTTAATAATAATTTCATTTGGCATTTAATAGCAGACTATAACTATCGGCTCATATGGCAGAAGGAGATTCAATAGAGCAAAAATCTGAGGCCTCGACCGCAGAGGTGGCCCAAGAGAACGGACCAAAAACCAAGAAACGAAAGCCCCGGTCGGCCACTAATCTTAGCTCCAAAGACACCAATTGTAAAGTGATTCTTCTCGACGGAACTGAATTTGAAAGTCAAGCGAATGTATGTTTTATTCAATTGGGTTTTTAATCGTTAATAACGTTATATTATTCTTATATATTTAAAGAGGAGAACAAAAGCCGGCGATCTTTTCGATAAAATATGTGATCATTTGAATCTTCTCGAAAAGGACTACTTCGGCCTTTCCTATAGAGATCATGAGGACTCGCGGGTATATTAACACTAATTTATTATTTATTTTAAAGTAAATCTAATGTAAATATTTTTATTCTAGAATTGGCTTAATTTGGATAAAAGAATGGGAAAACAAATTCAAAGTAAATAAAGTATTCATTAATTGGAAAAAAACAAATGTTAATACTTTTATAAATGATGGTTTAGATCTTCCGTGGATTTTTAATTTTGAAGTCAAGTTCTATCCGCCAGACCCGACACAACTACAGGAAGATATAACAAGGTTTGTATTGATAAACATTAATGAATTGATTGTTAATGGGTTTGGTTTGATGTTTAGATATCTATTATGTCTACAAATCCGGAATGACATCCTCTCGGGTCGTCTTCCATGTTCTTTCGTGACGCACGCAATGTTGGGCTCATATTTGGCTCAATCAGAATTGGGAGACTTCGAGCCCGAAGAGCACGGATCTAATTACTTATCGGAATTCCGTTTCGCACCCAATCAGACGCATGAGTTGGAAGAGAAAGTGTGTGAACTTCATAAACAACATAGAGGCCAGACATCGGCCGAGTCTGAGATTCAGTATTTGGAAAACGCGAGAAAGTTAGCGATGTATGGCGTCGACTTACACCAGGCCAAGGACTCGGCCGGTGTCGACATAATGATGGGCGTCTGCGCGTCGGGTCTACTCGTATACAGGGATAGGCTTCGCATTAATCGTTTCGCGTGGCCTAAGATTCTCAAGATTTCTTACAAACGAAACAATTTCTACATTAAGATAAGGCCGGGAGAGTTCGAACAGTACGAGAGCACAATCGGCTTCAAACTGGCCAATCATAAGGCAGCCAAACGGCTCTGGAAGACATGTGTCGAACACCACACCTTCTTCAGGTATATATTAGATATGCTTTACGACTAAATTAGTGTAATTAACAGAAATGTGTTGTATTTGGTCACAGACTGATGTCACCGGAACCGCCACCAAAACAGAAACTATTTTTGCCTCGTTTTGGATCCAAATTTAGATATTCTGGTAAAACCTTTTATCAAACACGGATTGATAGCGAGCGCATCGATAGACC